TCTGCCTGCCAATCCTCTTCCTTACTCAGCATCCCCTTTACAGGATGAGCCAGACAAAGACTCACACTGTTCCCAAGGACCATCAAGCAGATAAATCCCCGCCCCACCCTTCCCTTTAAAAAAACATTTGTTTGTTTGCCTGTTTATTTATGGAAGGTTAGGAGTGGGTGGGTGGGTGGGGAGTGGGTGCACACCTGCCATGCCGTGTGTGTGTGTGTGTGTGTGTGTGTGTGTGTGTGTGTGTGTGTGTGTGTGTGTAGGTCAGAGGGATGACCCGCAGACCTCGGCTCTCCCCTTCCACCATGTAGGCTCTAGATACTAAGCTCAGGTCATCAGGCTTGGCGGCAAACGCCTTTTCTCACCAAGCCATCTCATTACCCTCGTTCCCGCCACCTTATTTTTCCCAGATAATGTCATTATGCTGCCCATGGTGATCTAAATAGGGCAACATGTGGACTAAGCAACCCTCTTGCCTCAGCCTGCTAAGTAGCTGGGACTCCGGCAATGTGCTGCTTCCCTCTGCCAAGCGGTTTAATATGTTCCTTTCCTACTTGAAGAAAAATGGGCAGGAAAAAATCTGCCAATTCACATGGTCAGACAACTGGCTTCCTGCTGACCAACTTTTTCATAAATCATTCCCTTAACTTTAAACCTCATAGCCATTCACATCAAAACTAGGCAGAAGTTTACTCTTTTCCACAAGCAAGATGTCTGTATCACCACAAAGTTCCCAAGTATGATGCTTTCTTTATCTTCGTTGGCCTGTGAACTCCATTAGGGAACAGACTCTGCTATTTGGCTTCTATTTCCAGAGCCTGGCACGGTGCCTGGTAAACACAGTAATTCAGTGAGCGTTTGGTGAATGAGTGCCTGCACAAATATACCAGCTGAGCAGTGGTGGTGGTAGGGAATCTGACCTCACTAAACACAAAGGTATAGTAATCGCTTCTTTTCATGGTTTTATTTATTTATTTATTGGGTTTTTTGTTTGTTTGTTTGGTTGGTTGGTTGGTTTTTTTGAAACAAGGTTTCTCTGTATTGTTTTGGAGGCTGTCCTGGAACTCGCTCTGTCGACCAGGCTAACCTCTAACTCACAGAGATCCGCCTGCCTCTGCCTTGAGTGCTGGGATTAAAGGCGTGCACCACCAACATCTGGATTTTCATGGTTTTATTAATTAGAAAGTGTTTCTACAATATCCCACAAGCATTACTCTTTTGTGATATTTATGACATTAAGTATCCTATTGGGGCTTTCCCAGTAGGTTTTGTCCCTCCCTATACAATTTTCAATGACTGTATATATATTCCCCTCATCCAATTATTGGTCAAACTATATTATAATCATAGATCTATTAAAATCTCCCAACACAAACACCAAAGTTTTTTAAAAAGTTTATCTCCCAGGAAAAACACTGGCAGAAATTCATATCGCCAAAGACAATGTTAATAAAACAACCAATATCAAATAGCTTGAACTAGGTGTTGAGGGACATTCCAGCAACTCCAGCACTGGGGAAATTGAGGCAGGATGAACAGGAATTCAATGTCGTCCTTTGCTACATATGGAGTTCACAGCCAGTCTGGGTTACACGAGACCCTGTGTCAGAAACAACAGGCCTGGGAGACGGGTCAGTCAGTGAAGTGCTTGATATGTAAGCCTGAAGATCTAATGGCCAGCACCTACATAAAATGTCAGGCACAGCAGCACACAGCTGCAATCCTGGTACTGGGGAAGCAGAGACAGGCAGATCTCCAGAGCTCACTGACCAGACAGCCTAGTAGAATCAGTGAGCTCCAGGTTTGCTGAGAGATCCTGTCTCAAAAAGTAAGGGGAGGCCAGGCAGTGGTGGCGCAGGCCTTTAATCCCAGCACTGGGGAGGCAGAGGCAGGTGGGTCCATGTGAGTTCAAGACCAGCCTAGTCTACAAGAGCTAGATCCAGGACAGCCTCCAAAGCTACAAAGAAACCCTGTCTTGAAAAAACAAACAAAAAAGTACGGGAGTAAGGGGAGAGTAACTGAAGAAGACATGACATCAATTTTAGGGCTGTGCACACATAATAAACACCACACACACACACACACACAGTTTTGAAACAAATGCAGAATAGATCTATGGATAATTCAGTGAAAATCAACCATGTCAATACAAGAGATTGCTTTAGCATCACTGACATGAATCAATTCTGTGACTTCTTTGCCAGGCATGCTGAGGCCAGGACTCTAGGTGGGCAATGTGATTGAAGGAGATTCTGTCACACACAGTTATATTTAGTGACATATGGACTGAGGAGGGACCAGCAATAAATAGAGGGAAACCTTGATTCAAAGGGCAGGGTTTCTCTCTGCTCCTGGATTTCTCTATAATTAACCAATTAAGGCCATCTCCCTGTCTCCTGTGGGAGTTTTCTCTGCCAGGGAGAATGAGGTTGCAGCCCTAACCACACAGACCTATAATAAACCATCTGGGTGATGAAGGATAGCTTCAGATATACTTAGATTATTCCCAAGAGGTGGCTGAATACATGAGTGGTATTCTTAGCCTCAGTAGAAATAATTTCTCAGAGGAATTAAGTGTATTCTGATACTATCTTTTAAGTCCCCAGTTAGTCTTATCACATGTCTCTAGCAAAAGAGATTGAATGTTACTGGGCCTATTAAGCAACCTTGAGCCTGGAATAGATCAAACAATGCCCCCACCAACCATACCAATTGCTTCACTCATCCTGTTATTCAGTAGCATGGTTATGTGATAATATGGGGGCAGGGTGGAATAAAGAAAATGTATTATGTATGTGAGAATTTATGTTAACTAAGGAATCATTCAAATTTAACATTAATACTTATATTACTTACAGGTATAAAACCAAAATGCTATTTTGGTTTTCAGAGTTCAAATCTACTAAGAATTCTACTACAAAGAGTACATGAGTCTGCAGAGAGAGAGCAGTTTGTGGAATGGGTAGACAATTCAAATACCACAGGGGCAAAGGACACATTACTGAATGGCTCTTAACAGAAGAATTGATTGCAAAATTGTCTGACTGTTGCTTTTAGGAATATTCCATTACCACCATAGGGAAAAATATCTTTCACCCCCTCCCTTTTCCCCCTTGTTTTGGAAGAACTGTGCTGTTAGACAATATTTGTGTAGAGGCATGCAAATGATAGCCTGGCCGACTTGTTTTCACATGGGTCTTCAGATGAAGAGCTGGAAATGGAAAACCAGCAGAAAGCAAGGACTAGGTCTTGGCCCTGTGACAGTCATCTTCTAATCAGAAGGCCCTGACACCAAAGAGCCGGTTAAAACAGAGAAGGGGAGAGGCCATCAGAGGACCAACTGGTGAACGGTAGGATTTACACAGCTAAGGACCAGAGAAGGCCCAGGCGCAGAGAGCCTCTGCGAGAGGAGATGAATGGGCATGCTGGAGGCACTTAAAGAGGAGTGCTTCCTGGCTCTGTGTGTCTCACCTCGGGGCCTGTAGCTCTTTGTTAACGATTCCCTCACGTGTGTTCAGTGAGGACTGATGTGAAGATGAGGAGGCTAGCCATGCAGGCAGGATACAAGCTCTGCTCTTTAGTGAAGGTTGTGACACCCCTCAGCCAAAGGAAAATTCCAGCACAGTTGGTCACACTGGCAGAACATTTCCGTTGGACTTTTTTTTCTCTGTGTGTGTCAGGAAGAAGGCTGGGGCACAGGGGCCAGAACTGGGGAAGGTTCTAAGGCAGGTCACAATGCAGGGCTTCTTAATTAGAAACAGGGATCAAGCAGGGAGCCTGTCGTGCAGCTGGAGAAAAAAAATCCTAAATGGAAATTCATGAGAATGGTTGGTTGCCTCTAGGGGAAAGGATGGGAAGGGGGGAGCGGGGAATGGCACACAAGGCTCTTCTATCTTGCCTGTAACGTTAATATTTAAGAAGAAAATCAGGTTGGGGTGTAGCTCAGTGATCTAGCCCCTAGTCATATGCAGGGCCCTAGGTTCAGTCACCAGTGCTGGGGGTGGGGGAGGATACGTTTTCATGTTATCTGACTGAAAACTGATTTTAAAAACACAAGGGCTATCTTAAAGGGTAGAGGAGTAGTGCAGTGGTAGAGCACTTGCATAGCATGCCCAACCCCCCTTTCCCAAGAGATCTTAAATTTAAGAAATCAATGGAGAAGGGAGAGGTGCACTGAGGGAAAAGTGGGCAGGAAGCCATGACCAGCAGCCTAAGCCTTTGTGGATGCTGGGCTAAGGCAACCAAAAGGATGAGTGAGGAGGAGTGGAGGCAAATGGAATGGCAGTGGTCTCAAACAACGATCGACTGGATCACAAAAGAAGCAAATGCAAGTGGTAACAGAATTCTGACAGAAATTTGTGAGGAGAAAATGAGCCTGAGTCAAGCCTAGCTCACCTTTCCTGTCAGATTGAGGATCCCCACAGCAGTCCTCACAGAACTGCTCCTGAAACTCGGCCTGTGACCCAGGTTGCTCCTCTCAGTCACCTTTGTCCTCGGTGGTGGAGGACTTCACGTGCAGGACTCAGGGAATTCACACGTGGAAAGGACCACCCGCAGTCTCCTGCCCTCTCAAACTTTCTACCAATGCCACACCACCACACCCCTCCAGTGACTCATCCGGTTAGCTCCTGAAACAGAAAAGAGCTCGCTATGCTGCCTCCTGTTCAGGGCTTCCCTCAAGGATGTCCCTGGAGAGTCCCTGAGAGCGTGGGTACCACCTTTCTTAGTCCGTGGTCCTAACTGTCCTCGACGCCCAGGAAAGTAATCGTTCAGTGTAGAGAGAGGCCCACCGCCCTTCTGATGCCCTCAGGTTCGTGCATCTATCTGCACCGCACCCAGCACCTTGGCTCTGTACCCAGCCAGGCTCTTCAACTCTGAGATATGATGTGCTCTGGGCCCCCCCAGAGGATGCTCCCCCTGCCCGCCCCAGGGTCCCCTTCCGGAGATTAGGCGGGAGGCGCGGGGTGACGGGGAGCTGGGGGTGGGAGGAGCAGGACAGTTACCTCATTGAAGCCCTCCTGCAGGACATCCAGTAAGTTCCCGCGGGTTAGGCAGGCTAGCATTGTTCCTGCCGTGGGGCTCCCCGGGTGGGGTCGCCCCGCCGCCGCCTCCTCCCTCTGCACACAAAGGCAATGGGCTCAGCTCCCTGGGATCTCTCCTGAGTCCCGCATGCCACTTACTGGAAACCTAGAGCCGAGCCAAACTAGCGGCTTGCACTGGGCATGCTCGCGCTGGGGCCGCAGCCGGAGGGGCCCGGCGCCGTGTGGGTTCCTATAGAAACAGCCAGGCGCGCACGGCAAGCACCGAGAGGAAAGAGCTTGCGCTGGCCGCCAGCCCCGGGGCCGCCCGTGAGTGCGGGGAAGCCGAGGGCGCGCGCACACGCTCCTGAGTGGTGCGCGCGCGCAACGAGCACTCACACACGCGTACACACCTATACACCCGCGCTGACACAAGTGGGCTTGCCAGCACCAGCATATGCTTACAATCACTACACTGCGGGTTTGGAGGCGGGTGTCCCCGCGCGTGCGCAGGCACACGCACGCGAACTCCCCCCCCACACACACACGTATTCACTCTGCTCTCTTAAGGCTGAAAACACCATCCGCACGCGAACACCACACACACACACACACACACACACACACACACACACACACACACACACATTCACTGTGCTCTCTTAGGGCTGAAAGCACCTCACCACAAGGTGGATGGAAAAAGGAGTGAGTCACAGGATTCCCCCACCCCATTCTGCGGACTAACAGCAACCTTTTTCCACACGGGGCTGGAGAGTGAGGCAACCTAACAGAGAGGAAGTAAAGGGCATGAAACAAAACAACAAAAAAAGAGGAATCAGAGGAGAGAGGCTGGGGGTGGGTGTGTCATTAAGTATTAGGATGTAAGTAATTGAACAGTGCTAAACAAATCATAACATCACAACAAAAACATCAAAGATGATTTGGGTTGGCCAAGGTTTTACCACAGGTATCTCTTCTCTCTTTTCAAAATAACTGCTATAAAGGGAAAGGTGGGCAAGATGGCTCAGGGGATAAAGGCTCTTGCAGAAAGAAGTTTGACACCTGAGTTCTGTCCAGGAACCATGCTAAAAGAGGGAAGGGAGAACTCACTCCTCTCTGGTACATGCACCCATATAAACACATCATGCTCTCTCACACACTAATTAATTCTAAAAATAAAATAGCTGCTAAATGCCAGCATGGTGGTGTACACCTGTGATCCTTTACTGGGAGTCAGAAGCGCAATCAGGAGTCATTCTTGCCTAAATAGCCAGTTTCTGGTCAGCCTAAGCTATGTGCAGTCCTTTCGATAAGAAAACATGTATATATATTTATACACCAGACCTGGCACTATAGAAGCAGAGGCAGATAGATCTCTATGAGTTCAAGGCCAGCCTGGTCTATATTAAGCAAGTTTCAGGCCAGCCACAGATATATAGTGAGATTTGGTCTCAAAAAAAAGAAAAAAGGCAAACCTTATTTTAATGGGTTTTTATAAGTGCTTTTAATTGAAATAAAGCACCCAAAATGCCCTAGTACATTGACAGGTAAAGCTTCCTTAAGTGTAACAAGACTTCTCCCTTCTGTGACCTGGCTGAGGTCACCCTTTCGATTTTTAAGAACACTAGTCATTTGCATGTTCAGAGAAAACTGGTCTTTGAAAAAAGAAAGAAAATCAAAAGAATGTCCATATTCCCTTCCATCTTGTGATCCTAGATAGAAGGTGAGAACTACACAGTGCTAAGACCCAGAGAAGTCAGAGCCTTGTCCAAGGACGCAGCTGCTCAGGGACACGCAACTCAATAACTAGGAATTACAAACCACTTTCTAGCCATCCTGGGTGCCCCCCTCAAACCCCATTAGGACCGCAGGAAGAAGAGTCACTAATAAGCCTATTAGTTAACCTAATAACGTCCTCCTCCAGTCACTGGAGAAAAGGAAAAACCTTACTTGGGGCAGCCTGACTGGATATCTAAAGCTGCTAAAAACCGAAGAAGTCTCCTGGAGAAATTATGGGCCTCTGACCACAACACGCAGGGAGCAGAGTGTCAACCTGTGTTGAGCCAGTTGCTCTGCCGGTTAAAGCCTGTGGGTTCCACTCTGACTGAAGTTGGGAAAAAGCTGTAACACCCAGTCAAACTGACCCTGAGCAGCTGGTAAATCAGAAGACCTCTCTGTCCTTCACCATTTATCTGGGGAATATCACTGCCAAGACTCCTCCCCGTTCCTGCAGTTCATGGCAGACTCACAAACCTGTACTTAAGGCAATGGAGCCCTTTATAAACAGTAGCACAAAACTTCCAGTTGCAAAGAACTATATGTGGCGCATTTATATACCCAATGATGCCCAACCAAAACGTCCAGTTGATGACTCAGTGAGGCATCAGGCAGAGGCCTGCAGACTGTCATCTATGCCAGGAGGTCGCTTTTTCCTAAAAAAAACAGTCTCTGAGCCGGGAGTTGGTGGCGTACGCCTTTAATCCCAGCACTCGGGAGGCAGAGGCAGGCAGATCTTTGTGAGTTCGAGGCCAGTTTGGTCTACAAGAGCTAGTTCCAGGATAGCCTCCAAAGCCACAGAGAAACCCTGTCTGGAAAAACCAAAAAAAAAAAAAAAAAAAGCAGTCTCTGATGAGAGCAATATGTGTGAACTCAATGCTTTGGAGGGAAGACTTACTAAGCAACTGATTTATCATTTTAGTCTTTTGCGGCAGGGCCTCAGGTAACCCTGGCTGGTCTCCAACTTCCTAATTAGCCAAAGATGATCTTGAACTCCTAATTCCACTGTTTCTACCTTCCAAGTGCTGGGATTATATGTTTGTGCTACCACACCTAGCTACACCTGACTTTTTTCTAAAATGTGTTTCTGTGTGTCTGTGTGAGAATGTGCCATGTGTGTGAAGGTCTCCGTGGAGATCAGACACCAGAAGAGGCTGCTGAGTACCCCAGAGCAATAGTAAGAGGAGACTGTGAGCAACCCAATGTTCATGCTGGGAACCAAACTCAGGTCCTCTGGAAGAACAGTGAGCGTTCTTAACCACTATACCATCTCTCCAGTCCCCTACTAGATTTTAAATCCCCAAAAGAACGATTTCATTTGGCCCAACTATTTATATCATATAAGAGAGAACCCACGCCAGGAGAGGTACTGACAGTCTCTCAATAAATCAATACGGGCACTGAGATCTGAACAAAGGTCTTTGAGGTCTGGCTTGGTTCTTGTGCAGAGTAGCTCTTCATGGCATGCTGGAGAAATTAAGATACAATCATGGTGACTTGTTTTAAGGGATATGGCAAAAATTTGTACAATTCCCCCAAAACCTAGAGAAGTAGTATCTATTAGAACTTTGTAAGATGGAAATAGTCTATATTCCATATGTTGTGCAAAACAGGAGTTACTAGCCACATGTAGCTGTTGAGTGGTTGAAATATAGCTAAGGCAATTAGGCAACTAAAATTTTGATGTGATTTAATTTTAATTCGTTTAAAAATTGATGACATAAAATTGAAATATTCTGTTCCACTGTCCTACAGATGATTGAGATGTCTCCCCAAAGTAGATTAGATCAAATACAGAATGTTTCTCCTGATTGAAAAAAAAACACAAAATTCCTGTTGGGTCATACAGTTTAAAATTGGTTGAAATATAGCTAAGGCAATTAGGCAACTAAAATTTTGATGTGATTTAATTTTAATTCGTTTAAAAATTGATGACATAAAATTGAAATATTCTGTTCCACTGTCCTACAGATGATTGAGATGTCTCCCCAAAGTAGATTAGATCAAATACAGAATGTTTCTCCTGATTGAAAAAAAAACACAAAATTCCTGTTGGGTCATACAGTTTAAAATTGCTCAGAAGATATGCTTATCATGTCTTTAAGGAACATGAACATATTCTACTCCAGTTTCCCTGCCGCATGCTGTTGTGATATCAACAGAAGAGTTGGGACAGCAAATAGGTTAGGTGGAAGTGGGTTAAGAGGAATGGCCGGGGCAATAACCAATACAATGTAATGTCTGAATATGGGAAAGCTACAAAGCACTCCGGGAGCTGCAATCCCTCCCACTCTGCAGGCCTGGGAGAAGGCAAGGACTGCAGCAACCTGCTTTCCACAGGCTCCCACTCTGCTTCGCTCTGCTTCTGTTTAACCTCCTCAGTCTGCATTCTCTTAGCAACAACGGCAGGCACTTCCTCTACAAACTAAAAGCCACTCAAATATCTAAGTGGAATAGCGAAATTGATTTAATTTTACTATGTCCCAAGTCCTATGTGATGCATCAATATGTATGCATTTGATGGTCACAATTACAATGAACAGTTTGCTATTTACATATGACAAGAGACTGGAGGATAAATATTGAATGGTGAAGTCAAAGTCTCAGTCCTGAAACATTATAAAGTATGAGCACTAGGAACTGAGCCTATGCCTACACATACCAGGCAAGCGCTGGCATGGAGCAACAGCTCAGTACTTTTTTGTTGTTGTTGTTTTTCGAGACAGGATTTCTCTGTATTGTTTTGGAGGCTGTCCTTGAACTAACTCTGTAGGCCAGGCTGGCCTCGAACTCACAGAGATCCACCTTCCTCTGCCTCCCAAGTGCTGGGATTAAAGGTGTGCACCACCAGCGCCCGGCTAAGCTCAGTACTTTTATATGATGCTTGCAACATAGAAGGCACTAACCTAATGTTCTTAGAAGAGTGAATGCACCAGAGAAAAACATTAGCAAATGCATTCAAGCCATCTATTAGTAAATATAATAACATGTTTCCATAATTAAGACTCTCAGCCTTAAACAAAGCTGTCATTTGGTGAAAACACTGCCTGTGACTCTTCTCTGTGTAAAACTAAAATGTGTGAGATTCACACCTATGAAAAATTTAACACATCCACTACAGGCTGTCATTCATGATGAAAATAAGCACGAAGACAGCTTAAGTAAACCAACAGCTAAAACTATCAATGAAATGACCCCTGACCCTCTGAAATAATTTCTTAATCTTCCTTTCATTTTGTCCTATCAGTTGGGTTCTTTAAGGGCCACATGCTTCTTTCACATTTACATTCAGAGACAACAGCACAGACACACACAGAAAGGCTTGTGCCCGACAGCCAAGATGGCAAACATACTCTGGCTTTAAAACTGTATGTGTGTGTGTGTGTGTGTGTGTGTGTGTGTGTATGTATGCATGTATGTATATATGAGTGCAATGCATGCATGCATGCATTACAGTGCTGGGTGTTGAGCCCAGGGTCTCATGTATGCTATCTAAGCACTCTCTCACTGTATACCACACGCTTAAACTGCTCTTTTGTCTCTAGATTCTTCCACTTGCCAGTCTATATTTATCATAATCATTTCAGACAATAGATTCAGTACCCATTGTCTTTCCACACTCCCTTTCTGTAGCACAGCAAATA